GCTGCAGCTCAGTGTAGTGACAGCAGCATTTGACTTGCTGCAGACATGCGCAGCAACGCTGCTGCAGCAGACACTCACTGCAGCGGGAAAACTCAGCAGCAAAGGAACTGCTGCAGTGCAGGTCCTCTAACAAACCCTAAACCCTAAACCCTAAACCCTTAAACCCTAAACCCTAAACCCTTAAACCCTAAACCCTTAAACCCTAAGCGCTAACCCCTAAGCATTTTATTTTCCCGCTGCTGTTACCTGTTGAGGCTCCCTCCGATATGCTGCTGCTGTTGTTGCTGTTGCTGCTGCTGTCGCTGCTGCTGCTGCTGCTGCTGCTGCAGGACTACGTTGGCGGGGCGGCTGCATGCACTCGGGGCTTTGCTGCTCTCAACAGCATTCGTTCGCATGTGCACGAGTTGCTGCTGCACTTGCCGCTGCTGCTGGCTCCAGCTGCTGCTGTTGCTGCAGCTGATCATCATCAGCAGCAGCAGCAGCAGCAGATGCGGGCTGCTGCTGCTCGATGCATGCGCTGCTGCTTATCTGTTGTTGCTGCCTGGGCTGAGGTGCTGCATCCGCTTGCGGAGGAGTCTGGAGCTGCTGCTGCTGCGAGCACGGGGCAGCAGCAGCAGCAGCAGCAGCAGCTGCAGGGTTTGCTGCTGCTACCCGAAGCAGCGCATGCAGAACAGTTGCTGCAGCATACTGCAGCAGCATGGGAGGAGGCAGACACTCAGGTGCTGCTGCTGNTGCAGAACAGTTGCTGCAGCATACTGCAGCAGCATGGGAGGAGGCAGACACTCAGGTGCTGCTGCTGCTGCTGCTGCAGCCGCCGCACACGCATGCAGATACAGCTGCTGCTGCTGCTACAGCAGCAGCTTGCGCATCAACGCATGCAGATGCAGCAGCAGATACAGCACCAGCACCATCAGCAGCAGCAGCAGCAGCAGCAGCAGCAGCAATGAAGAGAGTTGTTATAAACCCTCTGGTGTATGGGGAGGTGCTGCAGACAGCTGTATGGATCTGCTGCCGCCTGCCGCAGCGGCTGCGGCTGCTGCTGGAGCCGCTTATTAGAGTTGCCGAGACACTGCACGAGGCTTACAGACGTGTTGCTGCTGCTGCTGCTGC